TCATTTTTATTGTGTTGCAGCAATAAAAGCTCTTTCAACAATTTCTTTTTGGATCTCACATCTTCGAATAATATTCCACTAACCTCCAGAATACAGAGTAAAAGACAGTAAATATCAAAAGGATTGCTACGAGAGAATACTTTATGGAGACAAGAAAAGTTCTAAACATTGAATTGTGTAATTATTTTGAAGTGTGTTATTGGTTCTGTTTATTGTGAAGGCGAATATTTCTTTGTTCACAGTGTAGTTGATTTGCTTTGTTCTCAAAAGAACTTGGAGAAATTGTTCATGTGAATTGTCCAATTGTTATCGAGCATTAATGGTATTGTTGAAGTTTACATCTAACTGATCATATCCTTGTGCTTTTTGACACACATGAGAGTGAGAGACTCACTGGTTGATATTAAAAATTTCAAAAAGTCTTCTTGGAGTTCTGGGAGATGGGAGTGGTTTTCTCGATCCCAATTGTGGACTTGTAATACCTGATAGAGAATAATTCATCAAAAAATTTGAGACAAAACGTAAAACTGCAGTATTTGGATTCGTTATCCATCTGTTTCTCTCAATTTCATGTGGAAATAAAAGAATACGTTGAAGTAGAATAGATTTCTCATCTTCACTCATTTTGGTGGGATCAGCGAGACATTGTGTCAAAGCTTCAAAGAGCTCATATTTTTCTCTTTCAGAAGGATCAATCACTGCTACTGGAATCGTTCGTCCAATAAGAGACGGAGGTCGTTGTTGTGTCATTTCGAATTGTTCAATGTAGGCATAGCGAAGATTAGACATATCTTTCACCCAGTAAATCGTGTGTTTCCCTTCAAGGCCTTTCAATTCTCGTTCTCCAACATTTTCAAATGTAATTTCTCCTTTCAAAATGGATTGTTTAAAGCCTGATGTATTGTAGCTTTCTAAATAGGACATGGAGGGTCTTCTTGTGATTGCTGGTTTAACCTCATGATATGTCATATTCCTAATGCTTTGAAATGTCTCAGCACTAATATAAACTCGTCCACCACTTGACACTTTTTCAACACGACTTGCCTTATTGACAGTCGTTCCAAAGTAGTCGAATCGTCGTGTTGTGGAATCGAATTGTGCGTCAATATCATTCCCAAAATGCATTCCCATTTTCACACGAGGCCCTTTGTAAATAATTTGCTCATTCCAAACCACTTGCTGCATGTCAGGAAATGCCATCATGTCATTGGTCCACTCACATTCAACAAGTTCTCTCTGAATAGCCATGCAACAAGCCACAGCATCAACTGGGCATTGAAAAGCTATCATGAAACAATCCAAATGTGTTTTCACTTCATACCCCTTGTGTTTTTTAATGTTCATTCGAACCACTCTGTTGTGAATACTCATCACTTTTTTCATCATGTCTGATGCAAGGGTCCACAGTAAGGACGCATTTTGAATATGTGTAAAAACAATACAAATAGGAGGATTTTTAGGAGCCATTCGATTCTCTTCCTTAATAATCGAACGCTTTCGATACAGGTATCCAAGAATGGCAGCAATGATCAACATAAATATTAATCCCACCAAAACAGCTAAATGTGCCATTCCAACAATAAATCCAACATTTTGAGTTATGGGAACTGGAGGACCTTCAAACCAACTCTGAATCAATAGAGTATTGTTTGGATCCCGTAACCATTTACATGATGCATCTCGTACAGTCATATTCTTATAATAAATATCTCCCAAAATTTGAATTTGATCTTGACTTTGATAATGAAAATTTTTCAGAAAAAGTTGAACTTGAGGAGAGAGTCGATTCACAGCTTCACTTTGCAATTTGTTTAACGATGTAGGAGGATAGTCACAATCTACGAGACCTCTCTTTATATTCTCTGGTTTTCTGCAATCTTCTGTGAATAAAGGTAAATATACTCGTTGAGGTGGATGTGGCTTGCTAAATATTTGATGAGGTGTCCAGAAATAGGCAACTAGAGGTGTTTTTGTTCGTTCTGCATTTTCAAGACTATTCACAATATACTTTTCAGAATCCTCGTCTGAAATTTGTAACTGTGTGACATTAAGGTTCAATTTTAAATTTTGAATAATCTGAGTGTTGAATGAGAGAACTTGAGGAACGACGTTAATGAACGGTATGAGAGGAGTGGTTCGAAAATAGCGATAGGAACGAACAAAGTCGTCCATTTCATTGTTATTTCCAGTTTGGGTCATGAAATATGGAATGTACCATCCTACTCTACCTATTGGTCCTAATTCACCTAAATCAGTAATGTATTTTCCATTTTGTACATATTTTCTTTGTGAAGATGATAGTGTTGACCATGATAAGATTTACAAAAGAGCTGGATACACCTACCTATAATCTGATACTCGATTGGATTTCCAAAATTCCAACATGACGATTGGAATTTCATTACCTTTCTGGTTAATTAATTCTAATCCTCCCGTAACAGTGGTGTTGAGAATGTTCACACATATGCCAAGCTTTTCTTCAAGCAGAATTTTCGCTACCCTATTGTTCACCCGTGAGGACTCCCAAGGATTCTCTATCAAGGTCAACCCATTATTCACACACTCAGACTTGGAATACAACGTTTCACTATATTTTGTAATCATGACAGACGAATCCAAACATGGTTTGTATCCATCGTTAGGAGCTGGTGTTTGTTGATCTTCGTAGGCACTGCAGGAGCTTGAAGCAAGGCACATTATAGACCAGAGAAGCACCAGTCGCATAATAATGCTACATGTGTGTGTGGATACGAAAATTTCTTTTCGGAAGGGAGGCTTGATGCTGGTCGTGGCCACGTGTGTGGCCATTTTTTATCACACGGTGGTCTGACCATCCATAGGAATGTGTTTCATTTCAAATATGGAAAAATGTTTTTGTCTATTTCCTTAAAAAACAAAATTCCATTTTGGTATGAACTTTTGTGAACATGAAACATGTTGTATCACTCCTTTCCTGGCCAAAACGTGCACTTGGATCTAAAATCTGGAAGGCAGCAATAAATCTTGGCTCCATAATATGCATCAAACGTATTTCCAACGACTATACTACATGATTGAGGCAGTTCCAATTTATCTTTAAGAGCAACAGATAAAAGACTTGTATATTCTTCTTTCCAATTTCCTGTAACGATAATATTTTCCAACAATTGTTTTCTGGTGTGAATATCTTTTCCAGAAATGAAAGATGTAATCGATGATGGAATAAAGCTATGTTCTGACACGAAAAGTCTCTTGACAAGTCTCTCAAGTGTGATTTCATCCGTGACCATTTGTAAGAATTTTGTGTCAGCTCTATTCAGGAAATTATCAATGACAGCCGACACTGAAATACCACAATCATCCCATTCAATGACAATGCAAGTTGGTAATTGGTGTGCCATAGCCACAAGTAAATGACGTGGGGCCATACAAGCAGCAGGAATTCTCATTTCCATCTATGAATTAATTGTGAAAAGAATCTTTCCATACATTCAGGTCCACTTACCATCATGCTTAACACTTGGCGATAGGTTTCTTCATCTTTCATCCATTGTGGAGGAAGAGAACATAATAATGGATGTCGTTCATGACACAAGCTCAAGTCCTTGTATATCAAAGAGACAAAAAATTGTAGTGCCTTAATGTCTTTAAGCGTTCCAGATGTGTGGAGACAAGGGCAAGGTCTTAAACTTTGCTTGCTTCCCAATACACATCGATGTAACCCGAAAAAGCTATAGCTGTTCATGAGTGAAATAAAATTGCAATAAATGGAATCTTTCAAAGATAAATATTAGAAATACCTACTGTCCTCCAATACGGTATGAAACCATGGACTCTACCGTTTTTTCATTTTCAGAGTTAAACAAGCCGTACATGGTCTTTTTTGTACGCATATCAATACAAACGGTCACAAATTCTTTTTCAAAATATCTTCGAGTGATTGTTGTAAAATACCAATCTTCTAGGTCATCTCTATGCTGTTGTTGCTTTAAATATCCAAATGTTTTGTCGTCACTCCAATTTCTTCTATAAATTTTCTGCCATAATTGAGGACTTCTTCCAAGTGCATTGAAATATTTGTTCAGTGTTAAAATCTTTTTACACATATCCTTATCACTCAAGAAGGAGAAAACATGCAGCAGCATTTCTTCAGGCAGTTCTGTCAATTCATTTTCGATATAGTCCAACACGTTTGGTTTCTTGTACGAAGAAGACTTGTAATGAAAATATGATTTGTTAAGCAAGTGGTCCATACTTCTACCGCTTTTCATGAGTAAATCCTGTGCAGATATATAGAGCTTTGTGGCTTCTCCAACTTGTCCTCTTTTTTCTAACGCATCGCTTTCATTTAACATGGCAGCAATTTTCTGATAGAGAGTACTTTTCTCAAAACCTTCATCTCTTGGAACAGTCTTTGAATCCACCCGTTTGAACATGATTTCTGTTCTCAAAATGAGCTTGGTTCCTTTTGTGACAACCATTCCTTCGTGAAACAAGTCATGATTAAATAAAGCACACATTCCCAAACTTGGTTTCAACGTGTACAATAGGTGAAAATGTTTTTGTGCTTCACTTGTTGATGGGCTTGTTGGTTGAGCACTTTCAATTTCTTGACAGGATGGAGGTATTCCCATTTTAGCTCGCTTCTTTTCCATTTCTCGATTTCTTCGACTTGTCGTTTTTACTTTGACGACAGTAAGGTCTTGCTGTTCCTTTTGTTGTGCAACACGAAGGTCATCATCATTGAATGGTTTCATGAATCGTGTTTCGCCTCCCTCAAAATCATCATTCAAATAGATCAATAAAGTATAAATACTTCTCTCATGATCATTTCGCACAAATTGCCCATCAATATGTGGTCTGAAATAATTGCCCTCCACGTATTTGCTAAACCTGAGGCATTCATTCACACCACATGCTACCCATCTACCAGCAGAATCTAAACCAAAAGGATGAACATTTCGACTTAAATCTTCACAATTCAAATTCTCCTCAAATAGTTTCCATAATCGGTTGGCAATGGCCTTGTCCTTGAAAATCACTCGCTCCGAATTTCGATATGATTGTGGATATTCTGCTGCAACAGATTCAAATTGTTGTTTCTTGGCACATTGATCCAATAAATCAGAACATTCTTCGGAAGAAAGAAAATTTGGAATGACCAAGAGACGATCCGTGCATGGGATGGTGTTGTTTTGTGAGGATTCACTAACAGAATAATCATCCAAATTCCAAGTAATTTTCTGTTGTGAAAGAATGGGAAGGCCTGGTTCAAGGATGGAAAAGGGAGGTGTGACTGTTGTTTGTGACATTTTTTTATTTGGTAGCTTTTCGAAATTGAGCCTCTGGAATGTGTTCCATTGCAGCAAGATTCAAGCGTCATTCCCAACTTTTTCATCTTTAAAAGCAAAAACAGCTTGCAGTGCCAAATGATCAGATCCATACTTGGAATTTGGAAGATGAGATGTGGTCATGATGTAAGGAACATCGTTAGGTTCACAGACTTCCATCACCTTTTCAACATTAAGGAAATTTGAGCTGAAAAAAATATAATCCGTCACTAGGGCATTATTTTTGGTTTTCAATGTGAAAGATGGTTCTTCTCCATCAATTTCCATGTATGCACTTTTAAGTTTGAAAGCATGTTTTGTATCAATGGCCGTCGCTTCAACACCATTTTCCTTGACATGAGCATGCAAGTAACCATCCACAACAAGATTATACGTAGCTGAATGAGGCTCTGCATTAAAGTCTCCACATAATACGAGTGCATGTTCCTGACCTTTTTGATAACTTTTCAAATGCTTAAAAAGTGACCGTAATTGATTAACTCTCACTTGAGGCTGTAACGGATCTCCCAACAAATGACATGATGCAACATAAATAAGTTTTCCATTTTCCTTTAGCTTTAACACAAGAATAATTACTGAACTTCTTTCATGTACTTGAACGAGTTCAAATTTTTCTTCTCTATACAAACATCCCACGCCCACTGGGAAATCTCCAAGCTTTTGCTGCACCATTCCGTTGTATCCCATTAATTTCAATGGATTTAAAATATCATTTTCAAATAGTGAAATTTCAACTTCCTGCAAACAAATCACATCAGGACGGTGCATTGAAAAGTCTCTCATAAATTTTTTAACCCTTCCACTCCATTCATAATTTTCTGAATGGGGTGCTTCTACAAAACCGTATCGATCTAAATCAGTCCAATAGGAAGCAAGTAAATTTTGAGAATAAATGCTGAACGACGGTGAAAGTAGCACATTTTGTAATTCATTTGAAGGATGATTCATCGTTGAATTATTTGCCACATCATTGTTGATAAATCGTGAAATAATCTTCCCTTTCCGATCTTTGGTATGGACGGAATGAAATTTGTGTGATGGCATTTTTTTGGGTTGTTGTTTGACCATCGAGCTCGATTCAATTTGGATCTTGACTTCATAGTTACAGTTTCACTTTCAGAATAGCACTTCAAATTCAAGGTTCACATGTTAAGAAAGAAAATATCTATTGAGACCCTTTATTAAGTTTCGTGAAGGTGATGCATCATGAACAAACGATTGAATGAACATGAGCTTCTTCTTAATAAATTGTTTGTCAATGTTAGTGAAATTACGCATTGTTTCTTCTCGAGATGTCTTGTCATGAATAAACTCATCTAACGAAGTAAATAGTGATGAAACTCATAATATCACGCCCAATTGTGCATCACAAAAAGACTTACAATTTTCAGTGAACATGCTACACAAAATAGCAATGACGATTGCAATTTCTTCGTTTTTACCTGTTCTTCCTAAAATGTACAACTCCTTTCCTGATGCTAATTGAGTTTCAGAATATTGTAGGACACTTGCCAATTCATCTTCAAGACCTCTCTTATTTTTCTTGTTATCCATTATTGAAAACGCTTTTCCACATGAAAATTCTTGAGTGTAATCATGACAGCAAATAAATCTAGAAGTTTCTTTCAAGTGAGATTCGAAGTATGTATTTAACATCTCAATTTTCTCAACTACATGTGTTGGCATGAAATGAGTATGTCATGAAACTGAAATTTGAAACATGTCCAATCCTTAAATTGGTACTTACAATTTGAAAAATGTCCAATACTTAAAGGGCAAGAGTTCAATTTTGTGCTTGGTAGTATTGGATTAAGGGAAGCTTCGTCATCACCATGTTTTGAAATGTGTAACAGAGAGATGGATGAAGAATCATATAAATGCTGCATGTTAGAAACGGAAGATTGTTTTCTATGGTTCGCAAGAATTTCTCGAATCACTTGCTCACACTCTTCCCCGTTGTGAACCGTGGGTGACAGTATTGCATCTTTAAATTCCCAAAATAGTTGAGGTGTTAATCCCAAAGACCAAGTTTCATGATCATCACCTAGATTTTGAGTAGTATTAATTTTGAGTCCAAAGTTGCCATCAACAGTTATGGAGCGATTCATAAACTAATATATTTTGATGGTCTTGAAACCTACCTGCCCCTTGAATATACTCCCAACTTGTTGTTTTAATTGGATGATCCGGATCACTAACACTAACTAAAAACACAGGAATGAAATCAAGTTCGTCCGTACTAAATGATGAATCCACAAAATCGAGATCTGTTCTCCTTGAAATCCACACACATTGAAGAGGTTTTTCATACAATTTCACAAATTCCGTAAAATCAATTCCACTCTTCAACAATGTGTCAATCCATTCAGGCATTCGTTCTTCGATTTGAACTCTTTCGGTATCGTGAACCCATGTGGGTAATTTTAATTCTGAGCTCATACTTCCATACTTGAGTAGTTGTAATACTCGATTCATCACACAGCACCATATTGGAACAGTTTTAGAGAAGCTGTCCGGAAATAATTTTCCTTTTCTTGTAGAGTCCACAATCATGATACAGTGAGAAGTGAGCGCTGTTTTAAGAACGTGTAAATTAAGTCGGCTCAGTGAAAAGGACCAATGATAGGTATGTCCATCTGTTGATTTAAAGTAACATGTTGAATCGAAATTAGCATGATACCATAACCCACAGCGCAGATTTGCGTATTTTGGAACAGTAGGATATAACCTAATGCAAACAAGTATATAAAATCAATTTTCAAATATTCAATACCATTTTCAATTTTAATATTTGCAGTGTTAAACAATTCTTACCGAAACACTGTCTCCACAAATTCCGAATCCTCCGTTATTGATTTCAGACGTGCATAAATATTTTGAGTGTTTTGTTTCAATTTGCGGCTACATGTCGAAATGATAAAACTGCATATCAACAAAATTTCGCACTCACCTCAGCCTATAAATACTTTTATCATCAACCATAGGTGATGATGACGGAAATTGTAACATTGTGTTATGACTTATTTTTTTTATTGTAAAATTTTGTTCTACCACGCCAAAAACAGAGCTACCTTGGCCCGTGCCGATGTCATGGTTCCCTGATTCTGTAACCCATACTCGGATGAAAAACATAGAATAGGTCCCTTCTTTCGATCTGAGCGTTCTTCTTCACTCGTATTACTTGCCAATGGTGGAAATGAAAAGGCAAACACATAATTGTTGCCTGAGAAAATATGGGGAAGAGGTGGTAAGCTCACTTCTCCAATTAAACGCTTATTCTCTTTTTGGAAAGCTTTCTTTTCTTTGAGAAGAATACGAACGGGTTCAAACATGACGCTATAACATGTCTCTGCTTCACTGGCCACACATGAAATGTCACTGTGTAGAGTTTGAAACAAGATAATGACACCGAATGATTCTCATTGAAGAATTACTTACTATTCAAACGTTTCATTGAATTTTGGATTTTTACTCTTAATGACCTGCATAAACAAGGAGTAAGTGATATTTTTCAAGTTTGAAATATATATCAGTTAAAAAATATTCATTGTGTTAAACTCTTGTGAATATTCATCAAGATAACTCCTTACCTTTGTTTTAAACTTTCTATCTGTAAACCATAGAGAAATATACACATCCGACAAAAATGGTATATCTTCCACGCTCTCCAATTTCACAATTAATTTCCGAGGTGGTATTGGTTTAAATTCATTACTCGATCTAAATTTCCAAATTCTTTCCTTTGTTTTAAAATGAATTCCTCCAACAATTTGCTTTCCGAAATAATTTTTGGTATTATTTACATTGGTGTAAAATCGACAGAGCTCTCTTGCATTGTCTTCTCCATAGGAAATGTCTAAAATACTTAATTGCATTCGATTACAAAATGGTACATGTTTTACAATGGTCGTATCCCCTTTAGATTTTTGAATTCGTTCCTTGAGAATGGTTTCAGGCATGACAAATTCCACAAAAAATATCACATAGTGAAATCTCTCGTCATGCAATAGTATTGAAGAGGATGATGAATCTCCCGAATTGTTCTTGTTTGGTGCAAAGGCTTTTGGTTTTTTCAAATTTAAGGTCACTATTTCTTCTTGAACAGATAAGAGAGCATTGGCACCTGTATCATTTGCATCTCCGCTATCCAATGCCGTGTCACTCTCATTCATGACCGTACTACTTGTTGTTGCAACACCAGAATTTTGTGTGCGTGTATCCAAAAATCGAAAGCTTTCAAATTGTGAAATTTCTTCCAATTTGAGTGATTTCTTTTTCAAAATTTTTTCATGCTTTGGAATGGATGCCATGCTGTGAATCGTTTTGGGTCCGTTTTTTTGATCTGAGCTTGAAATACAGAGAGGTGCTCCGAAGCTTGTATAACCGATGGCATACATTGTGAAAGGAACATCCACTTCAATGATTTGTTCTTTTGTTTTGGAGATTTTAGAGGTTTCTGATTTTTCTTTAACGGTAGTTGTGGTTGGTGTCTCGTTGGCAAGATCGTCATAGAAACCTTTGTTTGGGTGCGAGTTCAGAATTGAGAGATGTTTTCACAATGACACCATCGTATAGGTAGAAACAGGATGTTCCAATTATGAAGAGGTGGTGTATCAATAAATTCCAACAACCATTATATAAATGATGAAAAATGAAAATTCAATATCGGTATGAATTGAAAATTTGTGAACCATCATCGAGAAACGCGTCAGAAATTTTTCACACACCCAATTTTCAAAGCACCTACCATAATCATGATCATCATGAAATTTTTCTCTCGTTTTCAACTTGTCATACATGGTTTCTTCTTCTTGTGACGTTGGTTTTCTCGTCGAGTTCCACATCATCCACTCTCGTTCCATTTCCATTTGTTTTTCAACGACTGTTTTTTCATATCTCAATTTTACAGCCAATTTTGAACATTTAGATAAATCAAAGTCCTTGTTGGGTGAAAGTAATTGACCTCGGCCAGTCGTTGAGATAATTTTTGAATTTCCAAATGTCATGCCCTCTACTGCTTCAGAAGCATGACCGAGATCATGATGATGAGTGACATTATGACTTGGTCTTCGTACCTCTTGTGATCGCTTCTTTTTTGTCAATCCATACAATTCTTCAATGTCTCTCTCGGGATCTTCCTCACTTGACGAATCGTCTTCATCATCTTCATCGTGGCCATGATTTCTCGACGTTGATGAAAATGGAATTTCTGGAGTTAAAATTCCTGTAAAGAATTGTTTCACTCCATCAAAAAGAGAACTCGTCGATGTGTTAATATTCGTTGTTGTTGTTGTTGTGAGGTGTGGTTGTGGCTGCAAATGATCGTGTTGGTAATGACCTGCCGAGGAGGAATGTCCCGATTCAGAAAGACTGGCAGACCATGAAGACGTTGTTGTTGGATGGATAAAATTATTATTATTATTATTGGGATAGGTTAGAATTTGGTGTTGTGGTTGAGGTTGATATGGTTGTTGTGGTTGATTTGATGCATTGGAAATTCCTCCAATAAAAAATTGTTCATTGGGATGGTTGTCATCATAAAACTGTTGTTGATGTTGGTTGTTGTTGTGAAAAAAACCATAATGTTGTGATTGTTGTGGTGGTTGTTGTGAAGAGGAGGAAGCGGATGGATATGAAAATTGTTGCTGCTGCTGTTGTTTGAATGGCATCGGAAACATTTTTTGTGTGTGGATCTCGAGTCAAAGTCAAATGTCATCATATCTTCGAACCCTTAGGCTTTTATTGGAAGCATCAAACCTCAATCTCTTTCAGCGAACCTGAACCCACGGTTGCTGGAGCACCATTTCTAACCTATCCCAATAATAATAATAATACTTGGATATTTAATATGCCAGCAGACTACCTCTTGATCTCTCTTCAAGTGAACCTTCAAGGTGTTGCCTTTCCTGACAACCTTGCCATCTCTTTTGAACTTAAGAATGCTAAAATAAACCCCTCATCTCTTGCCCATCATACAACCTGTGAAAAGGGAACCTTGCGTCCTTTTCACGAATGAACAAAGTAACATCAAAAAAAAATTCATCATTCTTGCCAGGTTTTTCATAGGTTTCGGACAAGTAAATTGTTGCATTTTACAAACTTAATTGGTTCGGACATCAGGGAAAATTGTTGCGGAGACTTGTTCAATCAATTTATAAACCGCAACCATTTCAAACAATAGCAGCAGTAGTAGTAATAATAGTAGTAATACTTTAGTGGAGTGATTGATAGTATAGGAATTGTTATTTTTATTATTATTTGTTATTATTACGCAGAGAATGATGATGACATCAACAAGTGAAGAGGGTGCAAGCCGACATCGGATTGCTTCTCCTTCAGCATCACCTTCATCATGGATGACATTCTACTTGATAGCGTTTTTGCTTGGTTGGGTAATGATGATGAACGTGGTCATGGTACCAAACACGTGTAATGCCATGACAACGGTGGCACATCAAATGTTGAAGATGAAGCAACAACAAGAACATCACCAAAATAACAACAACCATCACCCGATACACGCTCATAACGTGGTGATAGAAGACAAAAATTCGCATGAATTTACGTATATTAAAAACTCAGCAGCCCACGCTCAAGGTATGTTTTTGAGAAACGAAGTGGTCATGATCAATATAACATGGTTCATATACATGATATTGGTTCATTCAAAAATGATATTACTCATTCACTTATTGATTCAAACATTTCCAACCATTCTCCGATTCAATCATTTGCAATTATGATGATGATAATGTAAAAACAGACAAGGCTGAATTTTCTAATATACTGATTGTACGTATCATTATTCATTGATCAAACATTCTTACCATATGTTTATTAATAACATGTCTTATTCGAACCATCCTATATTACTCGCATCATGCTACTCTCTGTCAACTAAACTACAACAATCGTACTCGTTCATTTGCTCATTATCCTTTTAAACAACACACACAAATCAATGAACCACACCATCATCAATCATCACCACAATTACTTTGGCAACGTATGGGATCACAGAACGACCAAGATTTCGCAAGCGGAAATTCAAGGAGGACGTACCTACAACAACTTAAAGACAAATTTGTAAATACTCACAAAGGAAATCTCCACTTTGATATTAAACTTGACGATGAAGAGGAAGACGATGAGGATGATGAAGACCATAACAAGAATGACTCCTCTTCTTCGAATATTAGTAACAACAACAACAACGGCATCGACCACAGCTTCCACATCGATGGTACCACGTTACCGACATGGAAGACATAATTGCATCAGAAATGATGACGACTGATTTAGAACAGCAAAAACATGCACAAACTGATGAAGATTTTGGAGAAGACGATGACAACATGCACCTTGAAACTATTTCTGTAACACTCAACAGAAATCCATCTTTAACCAATGGTGATAATGTACATAATAATGATGACACCAATAACAATGTAGGACCATCATCAACATCATCATCCTCTACATCATCTTCAAAGAGCAATGCTGGGATGCTCAATAGTGGCAGTGCAGCTTCCACAAGCGGTAGTTCTATTGAGAGCTCTACGTATATGACTGAAAACACAAAAGTGAAGCTTATATTTGACCCACCCATGTTGGATTATGAGGATAGGTATGTTATTCACATGTTCATCATTGATTTAGACATTTTAACTGCTCTTATACACGACCACGTTTCTCCTTCAACTGTACTTCCTTTTTGACCATTCAATTCTTGAATATAATTATTTTCAATTTACATACTTGAAACATATGTTATAGACCCCTCTGCAATCCAATTGCCAAAACGTTTACAATCACAAAAGAAGCTGCCGATGACGATTCTCAACAACCGTTACAAGTAACCGCTGTTACTACTGAATCTTTATTATTTCATCCTTCAATAAGCAAGAAAGAGAATAATAAGATCACAATTAATGTCATTTTCTTGCCAAGAACGCTAAAACGATCCGAAGGGTCAATAATTGTTCATACAAACTTTGGTTCCTATGTCTACAAGCCTATGGAGGTGGTATTGAAAATGCATACAACATCAAACCGATTCTTGGATACAAACTTCCTGTAGGAGCAGATTATAGAAAGCCAATTTACATGCACAATCCTCATCAAAATGAAACTCTTCTCATCAAAGAAATTTATACAAGTGAGGATTTTCTATTATTGAGTTTACCTGATCAAAATAGTAATGAGAAAAACTTACAGAAAAAGAATTTATTGTTGTCACTATGGAAGTTAGAGCCACAACAAACAAAATCAATAATTTTATTGAACTTCCATGCAACTCAGCCAAAAACACATACAGGATTTGTTCACATCAATACCAATCGTGGTCAATTTATAATTCCAGTTGAATTTGTTGTTTCAAAGAATGGTGTACACCGGGTAGCAGAAGAAATTGATTTTGGAACTTTTATTACTCTCAACGAAAAGAGGACACGTGATGTTGTTTTACTCAACTCTTCACCACATCCTGTTATGGTATATGAAGCCTCAGTATCATCTCCAGATACCACCAATTTAAAGTTAGAATTTCAAAAGAATATCATGCAAGAGGGTTCAATAGTTGCAGTAGCCAAATTGGTTTTGACTTCTCAATCTCAAGGAGACATTTCTGGAAAAATTATTTTCAAGACCAACGATACAAACAGTGACAATATGGGAATTATTGAAGTTCCTTATCGCGCTCGTAATGTTATTGGTACTTTGGATTACCGAATGAATAACACCGCTTTTTATACTGGTGATGGAAAAGAAAAGACTCATGAAATGGTGCTTATCAATGGATTTCAGCTTCCAATCAAATTCATCTCGTGTGATATATTTGACAAGCAGTTCACTATTGAAGATTTCGTTCAAGGTGCTATACTACAGCCCAATGAAAAGAAGAAGATTCTTTCGATCCGATACTCACCTGGCGAAAATGATGCTGCTGTGCGCAAGACCAATTTAATACTTCATACAAATGTTACTAGATTGTATATTCCTCTCTATACCTATCATGGAAACCTGGATCACCTACCAATTGATACTGAAAAGAATATTCTTGATGCTGATAGAGCAAATGAAGGAATCAACTTGGGTATTTTGAGCTTGAGTAGTAGAAAAATTCATTACTTTGCAATTTCCAACACAAATCCTGTACCAATCAAAATTACTGACTGGAAAGTGATGGGAATGGCAAATAAGAAATCAAGTATCTCTATATCTTACGTTAAATCATTCCATCCAAGCGACGAGTTACGCTCACTACCTACTTTTAAACCAACAAAACTCAGTGACAGTATCAATAACAAACATTTGGAAGGAGCAAAAGATTCATTTATTTTTGCCATTCTTCCAAATCAGAAGGTTATCATGAAAATTGATATTTATACACCAACATCAGATGAGGAACAAAATGGTTATATTGAATTTGTGACTCAGACCAAAAATTTAGTAATACCATTGAAGTTTCTCTGCATGGAAGGTAGCTTGTCTTTCACGAACCAACTACCATTTGATCCTACTTTCCCTGGAAAAATTCAAAAGAAAAATATTTATGCAACCAATACTTTTGGAAGAGCCATCACCATTACTGGTTTTAAGTCAAACGATGAAAGATTCATTCCACATATCACTCACAAAACTATTGAAGCTAATCAGAAGATGAATATTGGTTACGTAATTTTGGATGCATCAAAAGTACCAAAAGAAAAGAATTACATGCTTGATGATGGTAAGATGTATTCAAACAATTATTCAAAGAAAATTTCTTCCATCTCCTCTGAAGAATTTACCAAATATAGATGGAGAAATGGACTTTTTGATGAAATCAAGAATGCAGGACAAACCAATGTTATTGCATCAGTTTCTATTGACACAGACATTGGAATTAATTGCAATATTAATGTTTCAACAACTTTGGAATATCCAAAGCTGTCTCCAACACGTCAAATATCATTCAAATTGACACATATTGGATCCAGTGTTTCTCAATATCTCACTGTTGAAAATCCTTCGGATCAGTTCATTTCTCTCCAATTAATTCTGGGAAATGGCTCTTTGGCCAAATTTTTGCAACGTAATGCAAAAGGCACACTACCAAAGAATGACATCCAAGGCGACAAGTCATACACTGAATTCAGACTACCCAAAGACGGAATGACCTCTGCGAACATACCTCCTCATAGGCATGCAAGCTTGGGACCAATCATTTTCACACCCAAGTCCGATTCGACTGAATCTGTTGCCTATCTCTACATTCGAAATAATCTCACCATATTTGATATTGTGAAATTGAGCGGAATTGGAGGATCTTCAAAACTTGTATTCAGCGGAGAGAATGGAAACGATTTAACTTCCCTAAAATTTGAAATTAAGGAATCACAATTGGGTACATGGGACAATTATACAAATAGATTCGTTCAAAACAATTACAGTAGCAGCAATGGAAGCGATGAAACATCCAAGACAACCACAGAACTCGTATTCCATAAGAAGTTTACTCTACAAAACAAGGGAAATATGCCCATCACCATTCTGAGCAGTAGTATTGAAAATATGGGATGCAGTGCGTATGGAGTGAAAATTCATAAGTGTGGAAGATTTGACCTACAACCAGGACAAAGTACAAGTTTTAAAATTTCTTACAAACCTGATTTTACCACTGCAGTTGTAGATTTATTTATTAGGTTTAATACCGATCAAGGAAAGATGTCCTTCCCAATTCGCTTCACTCTACCATACAATGTACTTCCCTATTTCTATGAAACACAGCCACTGAGCACTGGTCACAGACTGTTTAGAGTAGCAGCCACTTTTATTGTTTTGACTTTGGCAGTTTATATCATCTTTAGAGCATGTCGGGAGTTGAAGACACTTGATTCGACTGATAACGAGCTCCCTTCTTCCATCAGTGAATTTCTTAAACCTAATTTTTCTTCTTTCCCTTTCATTACTTTCCCATCTACAGATGTTGAGAAACAACAAGTGAACACTAGTGGCGGTACCAATGCCATCAACAAGGATGGAGATGATCATGAAAAGACATCCACAGAAGATGATTCGAATCGAAAGAAGAAGACTGAAAAGAAGAAGAAACAAGCCACAACAAGCTCAACTACACAGAAAACTCCAACTGCCAGCTTTTCAAAGACTTTAGAAAAAAGTAATGTTTCGTCTTCTAAGAAACCAAAACCTACAAAGACAACCAGCACTTCCATGAACCATAGCTCGTCAGAAGATGACGAGAATAAGCTTGTTGAAGTTGTGACGTCAGACTTTATAGAAGTTCAAGGCAAATCTAGTACAATGACTCACGAACAAGAGCACCCAATGCAATCAACATTGGCAAGAGAAAATTCAGAGCAGTCTTCTCAAACCTCTTCGACCAGTGTAAGCACAACTTCAAATGCAGGTAACTCTTCTTCAACCAGCATGGTTCAACACTCAAAGAAGCAGCCCTACAGTGACGATAAGAATATAACAAACACGTATGGCAGTACCAATGTTGCATATCAAGATCATACCGCAGCAGAGGACATGAGCCATTCATCATCATCGTCAAGCTACGAAAGCAAGGGAACAACTCACAAGCCACAATTTATTACAAAGAAATATCAACAAGACGGCAACACCACTGCTACTACATCTAAAAAGCAGCCGTTTGACAAGAAGCAACAAATCAAGAAGAAGTTCAACGAAAATGAACCACTTATCATCAAGCCAAAAACATTTGTTGCAGTTCCAAACAACACATCTTCAGGAAATGAGAAACCAAAATTCTATGCAGTTAAACCAGCATCGCATTCGATGAATGGCGGCGTAGATCATGGAAATACTGACATGGCTGCTCTCAGCACAAGCAACACGAGAAACTATGAATCCACAACCAATCCATTGTCAGGAAGCCGAAGCAGGACTCCAAACTCCAATGAAATGGCCAGATTCACCCGAGAGAGTCCACTCATGAAAACTCCAGAGCCAGTTGTGACCAGTGCAAATAACCATATTGGCTCGCAACAACAACATTTGAAAAATCCTCAACAATCAAATATTTCTCCAAGTCTCGATAATTTGCTAAATCAAGCAACTAGAGAAAGATCCACTTCTGACTCTGCCACCTACAAACCTCTCACTCTCAATACTGTTGCATCTTCAATTTCTGAGCCACAAACAATGACGAGCAGTAGTAATTTGGATGAAAAGAGCACAACCACGACAGGCAGTGTCACCAGTGATGACCAAGCTCTCTATGGAAGCATTGGAAGTAATTTGAGCGGATTATTGAATGACAATTGCAGCACTCCTTCACCAGCCACCAACAATGTCACCACTGATTTTACTAATGATCTATTGAGAAGTGTGTCCGTTTCTCCTCCTCCACTCAATCAACCATCTGCCATTCCCAGCCATCATCCTCCAAGAGAACAAGTAGGAGTCATTGGTAACAATGCAAGAAAGGATCAACATAGTAATCCATTGCAAGTTGGTGGAATTGGTTCTTCACAACCATACTGGTTCTTTGGAAGCACACAACCTCATCATCATGGCCTTACGAGTAACACCAGTAACATGATTCCACAAGCAAATACTTCATTATTTGGCTCATCTCCTTACTCTCCACACAATGGATTTATTGGAAGTCCAAATCCACAGCCATCAAACACGACCAACATGACAACCACACCATTTGGAATGACAAATCCACTCATTAATCCTACCTTATCTTACAATAATGCTATGAACAGAATGGCATTCCAACAAAGTAGACCAGCATACTTTTCATTGTTCGATTCCAGACCATTATTCTCTCCAACGGACCACAATTCATTCTTTAGCTTGAGCAATACCCCACCACATCAACAACATTTGCAACGCTCACAATCGAGCAGTCCATCTCACAGTGACGGCAGTGGTAATGCAGAATATGGAAGCATTGGTATGCAACAACATCAACATGGTCATAGTGGCGCTTCGTCCTTGTTCTCCTATGGTTTTCCTTACGAGGATCAAGATAAATAATTCGTGTTCGTGCTGACATTGCCTTAGTTTTTTAAAAAACGATCAAAAAAAAATATGACAGTTGATGCAGTCCATCTCTGAACTAGAAACTCATAATGGAGCCACATGGTTGATCTTGATCATTTGAACACAAGCAAAAAGCTGCTGACTTGTTTACCATCATCAAATCCAACAACAAAATGCCACAACCTATACACTCCACGACACCTTCCTTGTCACTTCTTCTTCGTCAGCAACTCAATGACTTCTCCCGACAATCCATTCTTTTACTCTCATCATTACTTGTCTTGTTTCTTCTCCAACTCTCACATCCCATCACTTCCCAATGTATGTCCAACCTCATTTCCAACACTTTCACTCCAACTCTACCTCTGGGCAAATTCTATGATGTTTGTCCTGTCGGTTATGTGAACAACAATGGAAAATGTGAAACATTCGAATCGGTGTGGAAGTCAAAAGTTGGATCGAGCTGTAATGTCACTGCAGATTGTAAATTTACTTCCATGACATGTGTTAAGAAAAAGTGCCTTGTCATGGGAAGAATGATTGGTGACCCGTGTGTTGATGCTTCTCAATGTGTTGTCGATGTTTTGGACATGTATGATACTGCCACTTGTTACAAGTCAAAATGTCAACTTGCTATCAAAAAGAAGGGAGCAGGAATCGGCCAGGTTTGCAATACGCCCACAGAAAATGAAGATTTTGTGACCACTTGTGAAGATGGTGTGTGTCCTCCAAAACTGACTTTTGACATGGAACAAAAGTGTGTCAAAATTTCTACTGCCAAGAAGGGAGAAACTTGTGGATTCAATGTGACCACCTCACCTACTACCTCTATTACTGGAATTGTTATTTGCGAAACTGGTACAATTTGTTCAGAGAAAATTCAGAATGGAAAATGCAAAACTCAAGTGAAAAGAAATCAAAAATGTGATCCAAAAGCGGACGACCAATTGTGTTATGGAAATTTAGTCTGTCGAAAGAAGAATGCAGAAGCAACCGATCATACCTGTGAATATCGTTCCAATATTGGCGAATTTTGTCAAGAAGACAAGGACTGTGCCTTTACCAACACTCAAATGGTTTCGTGTGAAAATTCAAAATGCATTCGAGCTCGATATTTACCCAATGGACAATCGTGCACCAATCATACTCAATGTTACAGTTCATTCTGTGATCCCTCTTCAAAAATTTGCTCTGCATTTGCCTCGAAAGGTTATGCCTGCAATACCAGAAATACAAGTTGCAATTCCATTTCATCTCAAGGATGCGCTTGTGATGGAAAAGAATTTATTCCAAATGCTAATGGACGTTGTGTCGCTTCCTGCACTGGAGCATTCAATGATTTACACGCCTGTCTCTATAACTTGGGTCTCCTTTATTATATCAATATTTTACCCATTCCACAATATTTGGGATTTACACAATTTGCAGATGAAGAATCTTCTGCTTTTCGAAAGTGTCGTTCGTATTACAACAAATTCTATTCGTGCATGAAGAAGACGTGGACCGATGCTGGAATTTCAACGAGCGGAGGTTCGATTCCTGGCGCTACACTTGATGCTGGTCTCGATGAAGGAAGTAGTATCTTGATGCCATTCAGAAATGCAGCTCCTTCATTTAGTGGAATGACTATTTGGCATTGGGGCATGATGAGTGTTTTATTAAGTTTGAATTTATTCATGATGTAAAGTATTGAGATGGAACTTGAAATCACTGCATGCCCATGAGTTTACGGTTTTTCATGACGATACGATTGTAATTGATACTTCACATTGACAAATCATTAAAGTTTTGATTTCGAAAATGATTAGTTCGAAGTGAGAATTGTCGTTATTCTGGCGACAAGTTTTCAACGCCATCGTTTCACTCCTTAAAAGACCTTTCCCGCATTATAATGTTACTTCATGGAATCAGGCAATGAGCACGTTTTACCCGATTTTTCAACTTGACATTTCTCTGTCAGCATTCAAAAACATCATCAAAAAAAACTCTCAAAATGAAGCTGACTGTATTCGCCCTCTTGTTGGCTCTCTTTTCTGCCTGTGCTCTCATCTTCTCTTCCAGCCAGGTACAAGTTCAAGCCCTCTCTCTTCCCTCTCTCGAAAAACTCATTCGACAACAAGTCGGCAACAAGAAATTTAACAAACTGTTGAATCGTTTCACCAATTCATTGCTCAACAAAATTCTTCCAAAAGAAGAACATGAAATTCTTTCAGATTCCATGTGGCCAGAGACTCGTTGTACCAATGTTGAAAGTGCTCTCAATGTTCGAAATGCTCCATATGGATCCATTGTCAGAACTTTGGGCGCTGAAACTCAAGTCACTGTTTATGATGTTAGTTATGCCAATGATGGATCGAAATGGGCAAAAATTGGAGACGGTCAATGGGTTTTTGCTAAATATTTAAAGATGGCTTGTCAAAATTCGAATAATAATGGAGATAAGACAACAGTAACTCTGGCAAAGATTTTTGAACACGAGGGATTGTGTCAGAATTGGGCTTCAGATAGTGGAAATGATTTCCAAGTAAGTTTGTTTCATGTGTTGTATACTTTGCGCGGTTTCAATGTTTGATTCACGTTGTATCATTTTATTGAACATGTGATAACAATCACAGGGTAAAATTGGTAAGTTTCTTTGCAACCCTTAATTTCTTCTCAATCTGACAACTGACATTTAATCTTGACGCTCAGGTTACACTTGCATGGGAGTCACTCCATCCCAATGTTGGAACAACCGCAACACCATCTTTTCGCCTCTCTACTCTGGTTTTGACGGCCATCCTGCTGACTTTTGCAAATACGCCTACGATCAAAATCCTGCAGTTTACAAACAATGTGCAGCTCAATTATATGCTCAAAATTATTTCGGTCCAGGAGGTTGTAATCCTCTTCCAATGCCTGCATACTATGTATGTGCTGATATTGCTGTGAACTCTGGAGTGGGTCGTTCTCAACAATATATTTCAGAATTAGGAGGTTACAATGGACAAAACGCCAAAGAATTTGCACGAGCTTTGAATGAGAAACATCGAGCAGATTATAAGAGATGGGGTTGTCCTACTTGTAAGAATAGAGTGTTCCTTGCTGGTTGGTTGGCAAGAGCTGACGAAAGAGATCGATTTATTGATAATTATTAAGGTTTCTGTATTCTTGCTGAGTGTGATAACTTCCTGTGTTGGAATGAAATAAATTTCGTTGGTGAGGTTTGAACACAATAATGAAGAATCAATGATCATCGATAGATGGATTCTTGATTTTTGAAAGCACTGTTATTTTCTCATCTTGAAAATCGTGCACTCGATCGAAAATGGTAACTGCAACGTCGTGCGAAATTCCAAGTCGTTCCAAACCATCCACAGTGATATTCTTTAAAAGATAACCATTCATTTGTTGAGTTTCAAAAACTAACATGTTTGAAGTTTATAAAGAAAAGTGAACCCAAATTATGATAAATTCAAAGAACGTACTTTCAACCACCGTATGATTGTATGCTTCTCTACAATACTGTTTCAAGAAGAACATGGTGTTTTTATGATCCCACTCCTCCATGGGTGCGCTAGTCAAGTTTTGCTTTAATTCTTCACAATTGTCTTGAACTGCTGAATCTTCTGAGAACATCATGACACTCTCTGCACATGTATGACTGTTAAGCTGAATCCATTCGGATAGATCCGAGTTACTAGAAGAAGAGTTGAGAAACATTTTTTTGAAAGAATGTTTGGAGTAGGAAGAGAAATGTTACCTCTGTGAAAAGAGACAAATTGAACGTGAATGTGAGATTTCTCTCAAATGACGTGAAAAACAAGGACCTTCCTAGGAGAGAGTGAATATGACAGAGTACATGGCAGCAATAAAAGCAAAGGCCTTAAACAAACGAACAATTGAGGTCACACTCACGAAGGACCTTTCTGCAACCCTATTAAAAAAAATGATCAACATTCATGAAACGGAAAATAGTAATCGTTCCTCTCTCGATTCATCGTCGTTGGCCCATGTGCAAGGAGCCAATAACAACAACCTCACGACCTCAACTCCGAAGCAAACTATATTTTCCAAATTGAAATTAGAGAGTCCGAGAAGCGGAGGATCCAATTACTTTATTTTACGATTTTTGTTGGATTCCATGATGGTAATGATTTGGATTATTTGGACCGGAGCACATATGAAATCGATTGGACAATTGTTATGTCCTCCATATTATACAGATGAGTATTGTTCGGCACAAAGTAGTGGAGCGTTTGCTTCGCAATTGTGGTATTTCTTGGTGCTGGTTCCTTTGGCATTGGTAGGTTCATCAGCTGATGTATACATGATGATGATTAGATTGTTTCCTTTTTACAAATTTAAATTTTACAATCATAACAATTACAAAATAATAATGATTCAAATATTATTGGCTTTACTACACACTGCGCCGCCGATATAGGTTTATATATTTTTCATTGTCATGATTAGAAAGAAGGCAAAACGAAATCAAAAGTTCTCGCACTACTTGACATGGAGCCTCTTCGTATTGATTAGTCACATCTATTTTTGTGTATTGTTCGGATTACATGGATCCAACGTGGGTCTCAGTTTTGCATACTTTGGATTGGCTGGTATATTTATTGGAATCATTCCAGACATCTTTTTCATTTGGAGATTTTCTCGAATCAGACGTGAACAAAAACTGAAAGAAGATTCCGAGTATCATTTATTCTTCTCGACGAGACATCAAGATTTGATTGCAACAAATGTTATTTAATTGAGAGAGGAGGCCGATTATGTATGGTAAACTTTGCATTTTGACCATCGATTGATCTATCTTCATCATCGGTTTCGTTACTATCAAAATGCACACAATTATAATATACAACATGATATTCATTCAAAACAACTATTTATTATTACTCACGTAATTTCAACTTGTAAAACCTTCATGCACAAATAAGTCATATTTCTGAACACTCGAATGCCTAATTAGAAAGCTTCTCAAAGGCAATGGCATATCTCTCAGTGATGGTTTTCACAACTTCTTCCTCTGCACTCAAATAACAACACAGTTTAACACTCAATTTCATCCACTCTTGAGCTTTGTCATTTTTCAACAACCTTTACGTGACGTTCGGGCGCAACGAATGAAAGAAAATATACCAAATAGAAAACGTACGACACACAACGGCAAACACTTACTTGTAATAATACACTCCATTGTTCCAAGACTCGGTACAAAACCAAACAAATGTATTGTGCTCGCTTTGAACGAACTGCTCACTTGGTTTGATTTGATTTAATAATTTTAGCACCTCCTCAAACACTGTATAGCTTTCCTCTCTACTGTTACAAATTTGGATGATTAACGTATAGAGTGAAACTAGGCACATTTGAAAATTGTACATTCGAAGAATATTTGAAAACGTGAATGGTCCAATGTACACATTGACACTCTGTACTTACGTGCTTTGGAGTAATTGGTTGAGGTACCATGTAAAATCTTTTTTAGAGCCATTTGCAAAGCATATTTCGCTGCTGCATGATATGTATTGCCATTACTGTCAGCACTACAACAAATGGATGCTATCATTTCATATACACCTGGACCTGTAATTGAATCAAGTTTTAAGGTAGCCTTTATGATAGTTTGTGAGGATTAGTCATCATGATTGAATTCTCGAAAAAATAATTTTTCATACCATAGATACTACTTACATTAATGACATCTATTACTAGGGCCTCGTCACATCCCAACATGGTTAAGAGTTGAATTTCTGCCAAATGTACCAGAGGGTAAATCTTGTCTCTGTTAGAGTCCATGCTTTGGTAATCTCGAGCCAGTAATTGAAGCAATTTCTTGCAAGACTGAGTATCATCGAGAGCTTTCTGCAAAATTTCTCTATTTTTCTGAGTGAGTTGAGCACCATTCGCGTACTCATCACTTCTCCGAGTGACCTCAACAGCACAATATATTCTCATGAGATAGCAGTACTTTTGAGTGGTGAGAGTTTCGAGAGATGCATTTCGATATGTGTAGAAGAGGTATGCAAGCCGATAGAACTCAAATGCCATCTCAACTTGATTTTCATGTACACATTCACCTGCGCTATTCCAGGCAACTCTGTGAAACCATTCAATTTCTGACTCCTCATGTTCTGTAGAGAACAAGTTCGAGGTTCCTTCTGTTTGAAAATCTTGCATGGTTCTTTGTAGATATTTGAGAACGCTGCTCCTGTCCTTGATAAGGACGGCTAGATAGGTCAATGTTCGCAGAATTTGTCCTCTCTCTAACGATAAGCGTTTATCCTTTTGATTTTCTTTCAAGAGTCCTTCTAAAGCATCAATGGCCACCTCATGAATTCCCTCCTTGTAAGCATCTTGTGCTGCAATGGCAAAGAAGAGAGACTGAAAATCCTCGTCTTGCATCATGAGTTTCAAGTAATTCTTTGCACTTTCAATATTCTTCATGCGAATACTGATTTGATACATCAAGTAATGAGTATGTAGGGACTTGGGGTCCAACTGTTCAGCACTTTCAGCACATGAATGAGCTTCATAGGTTTTGCCTTCTTCCAAATGGCACCTTGCCATCGATCGTAAAACTTTGGCTCTATCTACAAGATCATCCATTGGAAGTATCTGTAGAGATTGGTTATAGAAAGAAAGTGCACTGGCATATTCTTTCTTTTGAAAATGTTTCCATGCAATATTCCAAAGGGTACACTGAAATTCTTTCATGGTTGCCTTCATCATGGTACTTGTTTGATAGCGTTGATTTAACGCAAGCAATCGTTTTACAATATTCTCAATCTCATCTGAAAGACTTGATGTTTCAGAAGAATTAACCAAAAAGTCGAAATATCTCATCAGAATTCGTGGCTCCTGCTCTGTAGAGGCATGCAACTCGAGCAGTAATTTATAAGCTTTGGCCGTGATTTCCATCCTTATGTGAATTGAAGGAACATTCGACGTTGCAAAGTTTTGGTCAAAATTGAAAATTTAGTGAAACCAAGCAACAAATATGAACCGAGCTGCGAAATACGAACTTCATACTTACATTTTTGCCTGGAAAACCTCTTTACAAGCAGCAATGGCCAAATCTAATCCTGCCTCTGGTAGACGAATCAGCTCGAGAAGACTTCTCTCTGCTTGTTCCTCTCTTCTTAAAATGGCGTAAAATTTTACTTCCAAGAATATTCCTTGTGGAGTCTTGCACATGTTATTGGCCATGGTGATACAATTAAGGCCATTCTCTAAATTACCAGTTTCAAGATACGAATTTGAGAGAAGACGTAAAGTCCTCGATTGCTTTTGCAAGCTCTTTCCCTCAGCTACTAGCTCATACAACTCAAAAGAGTCCTTTAGCCAAGGAATGGTTTCCTCATACCTCAGTTGACCATTAAGGTCAACTGCATAATTATACTCAATCATGGCAATACGCTGAATCTCGTGAGGTAGCTTGTGAATGAGCTTCTTTCCTTGTTGAATTGCTGCAAAGGACCCTTGTACATTGTTCGAGCGATATAAACAATCGGCCCTGTCAATACAAACATTTAAGATGGCACTCAGAGCCGAGTCTGTGCTCTTATCCAAAGGTTCATCGGACATGATGGCACTGCTGTCCAAAGAAGAAGAATTTTCAGAGGATATGGCTGCATTCATATACTTGTCCGCATAGACCGCAGCCTTATCGAAACAAACGAGAGCCAACTCATACTCCTTATTCGCGTTACTTGCTGTAGCTGATGATATAGCATCTTCGAATTCAATATCTCCATCTTCGTCGCGAGCAGGGGCTCCTTTTTTCTTCAGAAGCTTATGGGGAGAGGCTGTTGTGGAAGTATTACTCTTTTTCAATACTAGATAGTCTCGAGCTGTTTTAGCGTACAATCTCATCATGTTATGAATGACTTTGAGGGTAAGAGTTGAAGGCTTGAGTGATTTTTCAATGACATGACAAGCAACCTTCCTAACTATAGATGAGGAATGCGTTTTGGTTAAGGACCATTCCGATCATCGTGATGGATATTTGAGAGTCATGATCATTTGATTGATGGATTCATATATTCGCTGTGCTCCAGTAACAACTACCCTTATAGGAGGAACAACCTACCTCTAATGAGTTGCAATTTCAATAATTCATCCAAATTCAAACTGACCAAAAACTTCTTGGCATTCTGCTCAACACATTGATTCCATAATTCATAACCCACAGTTTTCAAGAGCTCACTCGGAGATAGTTTTGAAAAGCTTGGCGATGTGGTCGAGGTAGCCTCTTCCAAACTCCTCACGACTTGCTCAATGGAATCATGAACACTACGATGAGCCTTAATCTCATTGGACAAGACTGGGGTATGAGCGTTTTGATTAACCTTTTCCTGAGGAAGTTTGTTCCAGAGAGCCTTCAATTCTGCTCCACTTCCTAATTTTATGTTGGAATTGAAGTAAACCATTTGA